TAAGACGAAATGAACTTTGTTTCAATTTTCCAACTGCGAAAATCGTTAAAATTTCCGAAATAAATGGAACGGTTTCAAGAGTAAAGTTTCCCAATTTCTTACATAATGGTAAATTGTGACTCAAAACTCTCTCAAGCTTAAAAGAAGTATATCCGGCATATAATATGCTTATTCCGTTTCAGTTTTTTTTATTTAATCTGTAATTAGCTATTCATCTGATTCTTTCCAGGTTTCTATCAAATGGCAAAAAAAAAACTAGCTAAGGCAGTCTTCTAATTATTGTACGAGCTTGGATTACAAGCTTGGTACACTAGTTGTGTTTGTTCCTTGTCTAATATACGGCTTAAATCCGTAAATCCGTTTGGACTCGTTCTCAATCTAAAGGTTGCGTTCCACCAGTGCACAGTGGGAAAAACCGGGCTTGTAATCGTACTTAATTAGATGCCGCTAGTTTGATGGCCTATACCTATGTATGTAAAAAGATACAATGAACTGATTGGTGATGGGTCCATCTTGTGCAGATCTCAGAAAGAAGTCCATTTTCCCGAATCTTCCAAATACATGGTAGAAGCTAATAAAGCGCTTTGTAACTCATTTGATGCCCGTGAAATGAACTCAAATAGCACCCATCGATTGTAAAAATATCAGGGGAATCAAATGCCACCTGTTTTATATAGTGTAGACCTCAAAATATGGTCAATGTTGACCGATTCTCCTCCAAAATATATGATAAAACCTAATAAAACAGTTGAAAACTTATTTGGAGTCCAGGAATCGAACTCAAATAGCACCCATCAATTGTAAAAAATATCAGGGGAATTGAATGGTACCCATTTCATATTGTGTAGACCTCTAAAAATGGTCCATTATGTCCGATTCTCCCCCAAAATTCTTAATAGAACCTAATAAAACAATTGACGACTTATTTGGCGTCCGGGAAATCCAAATGACACCCATAAACTTTAAAAATATCTGGGAAATCTAATGCAGCTCATTTCCTACTATGAAGACCTCAACAAATACACAGTTCGAAAAAGAAGTGTAACTCTCTGTCACTATGATCCACATAAATGGAGCGTCACATACCATACAACCATCCATCTTTGTAAGCAATATATCTTGCAAGTTGCTAGTTTACGTAAAAAGGAAGTTTACATGCTTCAATTTAAGCATGCATGGATATTTACATCACCATTAAAATTCATTTTTTTTTTGGTGTGTAGTTCATTTTGCCTGATTCTCCCCAAAAATCAGGCAAAATGGACTACTACAGGGCCTAATATAACAGTTAAACAAATATTAGGGCGCCCGGTAACTGTATTCAAACAGCACTCCTCCATTGTAAAAATATCAGAGAAATCGAATGCCCTCCATTTCATATTGTGTAGACCTCAAAATATGGTAAATTTTGCCTGATTTTCCCCCAATTTTGCTATTTCATGTATTGATAGAATCTAATAAAACAGCTAAAAACTTACTTGGCGCCCGGGAAAAGAACTCAAATAGCACCCATCTATTGTATAATTATTAGAGAAATTGAATGCAGCCCAGTTCATACAGCGCAGAGCTAAAAAATGTCCCCATACTCCCCATAATATACACATAAAAAAAATTATGAATTTTAATGGTGATGTAAATATCCATGCATGCTAAAATTGAAGCATGTAAACTTCCTTTTTACGTAAACTAGCAACTTGCAAGAAATATTGCTTACAAAGATGGATGGTTGCATACAATATTTAGAATATTTCATGAAATGACTCATAAATTTACACGATCTGTAATGTGAATTTGTATGGTATGTGACGCTCCATATATGTGCATCATAACGACAGAATTTTACACTACTTTTTCGAACTGTGTATGATAGTTCCTAATAAAACAGTTGAAAACTTTTTTGGCGCCCGGGAAAATTAACTCAAACATCACCCATCCATTCTAAAAATTTCAAGAAAATCAAATGGCACCCTTTTAACACTGTGTAGACTTTTAAAAAGTTCAATTTTGCCCGATTCTCCCCAAAATACACGATAGAAGCTGATAAAGCATTTGAAAACTTTTAAGCCAGTTCAAAGTTTTGGCATTATGCGGCCATTTAATAATTACGTGAGCACTTAAGAGCACCCCTTCTGTTAGAATTTTATTACGGACTTGAGGATTAGGTACGGTACATTTGATGTCGAATATTGTATATTGTATTGTAGATCTCCGGACTTTGAATGCACTTCTAGTGCATTTCGGCAGCAATAAAGGATATACATATGTCCATCATTACTCTAGGAAGTAAAGGGTGATACGGTCAAAATTTGGTCAAGGGAAAACGCGTGTAAATCGGTGAAATCGTTTATTTAAAAAATCAAATTAAATTTCTTTTTCAAGTTCAATTAGTATAAAATGCAGGAAAAATATTCAGTTAGGCTTCCGCTTTTCCAAATCCGAATTGCCGGGCCTTACGCTTGACCCCTGCCATCAGATTTTGTACAGCCACCTTGTCCACCTTCTTCGCCGCAGAAAGCCAGTTTGCCTTGAACTGCTGCTCGCCCTTAGCAGTTTTTTTGGTCTTCTTTAGGTTCCGCTTGACAATAGCCCAGTATTTCTCAATTGGGCGGAGCTCTGGCGTGTTGGGAGGGTTCTTGTCCTTGGGAACCACCTGCACGTTGTTGGCGGTGTACCACTCCATGGCCTTTTTACCGTAATGGCAAGATGCCAAATCCGGCCAAAACAGTACGGAACAACCGTGTTTCTTCAGGAAAGGCAGCAGACGTTTATTCAAACAATCTTTCACGTAAATTTCTTGGTTGACAGTCCCGGAAGCTATGAAAATGCTGCTTTTCAAGCCACAGGTACAGATGGCTTGCCAAACCAGATATTTCTTTGCGAACTTTGACAGTTTCATGTGCTTGAAATCATCTGCTACCTTTCCCCTTCCTTTTGCCGTATAAAACTCCTGTCCCGGAAGCTGCTTGTAGTCGGCTTTGACGTAGGTTTCGTCGTCCATTACCACGCAGTCAAACTTCGTCAGCATCGTCGTGTACAGCCTCCGGGATGGCAACTTTTAGCGATTTTGCCAACTTTGCGTGCGAGTAGCTCGGATTTTCGCGATGCGCGAGCAAAATTTTGATACGCTGCTCTTTTTACTTGGACAGCATTTTGACAACTGAAGAGTGAATTCCAAAATCAAAATAGGAGCAACATTCTACACACACACACCTTCAAAATGAGGGGTGTTCAGGTTTTTTAAATGCAAAATTGAAAGAAATACGTCAAGTTGATATTGACCAAATTTTGACCGTATCACCCTTTATCTGGATAAGCTTAGAAGTAATGAAGGGTTGTGCTTGGGAGAATTAAAAGGAGATATGGATTCACGGTAATACCGAAAGACTTGGGAATTGAACATGGTATAGATTGTGAGGCAAGTTGTGAACATTTCAACGCAGTATTCAGTGAGCTTACCTACGAAGTGGTTCCGATGAACTTTGGTGGTGGCTTTTAGACCGTTGGATATGGAGGTTATCTGAAATCGTCTTCAGGGTCTTTTGAATCTGAAAGCCATCTTGATTCGTCTCACTTTTTACCTGATGGCCTATGGACTTAACACAACCTGGAGCAACCATTGCTGTCAAGAATAGCCATTAACGCTCACTTGCATAGGCATAAAATTCTTATTTTCTCACCTGGGAATATTTCGTACTGGCATCCAGGATTTTTCAGCAGTCCAAGTCATCAGAATTATAATTTAAATTTTTAAAGCTTCTTATATAAAGCTTCTGAATGTATTCGTTCGAATAGGGATTTTAGGGCATTTTTAATTAATATTTTCAATCGAAGATCTAGTTAGTCGGACGTGGCGGGCTTGCATCCCAATCCCGTGTTTTTCGGCTGTAAATGGTTTTGCCTTACTTGGACATAAAGTATCGTGGCGCTTGCCACATAATCTACCAATTCATGCATTTGTTGGCATGGAAAGCTCTCAATTATAACTGTGGAAGTGTTTCACAGAACACTAAGTTGAGAGCAGGCGTAAGCCCCATAGTTTTTACACGTACAGTTGCAAACTCTGGGATCCTCGTTAAAGAGTGGACGTCATTTTTTAATCGACCCGAACCCATTATTTCCTCAAACTGTTAATAGAGGTCACTCTGCATATTGTTTGTTTTGTTGTTCAAACGAAAACAAAGCTTTCAAATCTTCTAATGGTAGCTCCCGATTTCTCAGTGAGATGCTAATAAAACCCTGGGTGATGCGGAGTGATTTTTTTTCACTGCTGGCAGCCTTGAAATAATAGATTCATCGCTATCAGTTGACAGTTAACGCTGTCAAACTGCATTTTCGGTAGAGCCAAATCGTGACTCATGCTTGTTTACCTTCGTAAATTCATGAAAGCAGAAGGAATAATTTTTTGATGAAAAATATTAAAGGAATGATTTTGATGCCTTGGGAAAAAGTGACTTACATTTTTGCTACACCCCTTCGCAAATAGAATGAGACGAACTTGAATATTTTCCTTATTGATGTACTGCAATACTATCCGTATTCGTTACGTGGAGGGTAAAAAATTGATTCGATTTGACAGCTCAAAAATGGTTCGATTTTGAGGCCCGTCTCCGCATCATCCAGCTAAAACCTATATGATCACCACTTCTACAATGTCGGAGACTCCGGCACACTGGCACCACGTCGTTGTCGTCCGTCGGCGGCCTCACAAACTAGTTTAAGTAGTACACGCGACCGCGGGGTGCGAATACGATACGCGAAAGTGGCTCGTCGTCGATCGTCGTCGATATCTGTGAAGTCTGTGATGTCTGTGCCCTTCTCGGCCGGTCTCGCAGCAAAGTGGCTGCTGCTGATGTTGCTCTCTTATACTACACAACCTTTCCCATCAGTTGGTTGGTTGTTGGCATACGACATTCAGACGATTGCGCGAGGTCTTATTTCGGTTCCCGTGCTGCCTGCCTGCCATCGTGTGTGTAGTATGTTTTTTTTTTCGTTTTCGATAGTCGTCCCCGGTGTGAATGATCGTGCATATGATTGCTATAATGAAGAGTGACGTTTATTGACAACTGAAACATATTTCTATAATTTTGATTGATTTCTCGACGCTCTCTGGGTCCGGATTTTTAATGTTTCATGTATACGTTACGCGCGTTCAAGTACTGCGTGCGTTTTAGGTCGGCTGCTGTTTCTTCTTCTGTTTGATATCAACGCCACAACGATCTGTAGTAGTAGTGGACCCCAGTGCAAATAATCTACAAATCAAACAATACGAGTTTGAAATTGAGCCTGCTGAATCGAGAGCTGCTACCGGGTTATTTCCGATCAGGCGTACGTTTGCGGCTGGAGAAGTGGCGAAGCATCACCCAAAGTAAGTTGATTTACTTTATATCTCTATACTTGTTGGTACCCACTGAATAATGATGTAGTTATAAATCTATGTAGGGTAGAGAACTACTTCGGCCTAATCGGCCATTTTGGGCCTATCGAGCAGGAAACTTCAAATAAATCCATGATTTAAGAGTTAACAAGTCAATTATGCGTTTGGTACGATACTTTAGTTAAAAAGCTACCAAACGAAGTCAATAAGAACGCGTGATATGAAGGTTTGCATCAATTATTCCCAAAAACAAAAGAAGCGGAGCGACCGAATCAATTTTTATCTTCATACGATAGGTCGAAGTGAATTCATTGGCGTTTGAATTGCGTTTCAATGCGTTAGGCCGAGTTTAAAATCCGTTGGCCGAGTTTGGCGTCAAGAAGCAGTGTTATACTTTTGACAATATCCCAAAGATTGGTTTCTCTTTATCAAATCTTACGGTACGTACGGAAAGGTAAATAAATTTGAAAGCCATCAGTAATAATAACATTCTGTTTGGTGCTACACTATGCTAGATTAAGACAGACTAAGTGCGAGTTGTGCTTAATAAACTGGAAATGGGGTAGTTAACCCTACATATATATAAAAATGAATTTCTGTCTGTCTGTCTGACCCTTATAGACTCGGAAACAACTAAACCGATCAGCGTAAAATTCGTATGCAGGGTTTTTTGGGGCCGGGAATGGTTCCTATGATGGTTCGGCGCATAAACTCAAGCTAATACTGAATCCCGTGTGCTCGCCCTCTCAGCTAGTATAATATAAAAACTGATTTACCATCGTGCATTTTAATATATATCTATCTTCATGTTGTACTTACGAAATTTTCTAAGTCAAGTGAATCCATAAGTACCGTTGGTCCAGTTAGAATCTGGAAGTAATAAATCAGCTCTATCTCGGGATTGGATTGATTTGGTTTGAGAGTTAAGTAGTCAATACATGTTAAGTAGTTAATACAATATCAAACAATTATTCCGATGGGTTTCTGAGAAATTCACGAACATTCTTTGAAATTCTCGCCATCATCTGTAGTACGCTGCTGGTCAACATGCCAGTTGTCTTCAACTATCGCTCGTTAATTTCCCAAAATTTCTCGATTGGACGGAATTAGGGGCAACTGGGTGGCATAATGTCCTTTTCGATAAGAACAACCCCGTTGTCACGGTACCACTAAATTTCCTCCCCGCTGTAGGGGTAGCTTTCCTACGCTATCTACGCTGACAGAGGACCATTTTTAAACTGTTGTCTAAACATTCCAGAACTGATAACTAGGGGTGCTGCTATAAAATAAACAGTGCTTCCGGATTCTAACTGGACTACAGATATGTTGTGCTCTAAATACAATTAGGGGCTGTTCATTAACTACGTAGACAATTTTTTTGGGATTCTTGACCCCCCTCCCCCTGCGTAGACAATTGTCTATACAATTTTTCTTAATTTATATGGGCTGTGGATAATTGCCATCCTCCCCCCCCCCCTTAAACTCTGTCTACATAGTTTATAAACAGCCCCTTATCCGCCAGGGTTGAACTTTTTTTTATTATATAATTGAAAGGACTACTAACTGTCAATTTGACATTAAAGTCAACTCAACTCACTCAAGTATCCTGAGCACCTTCCAAAATGAACACAGAGCCAACACGTGAAAGATTTCTGTCCTGTGCAGATGCTTGCTCAACTATACATTACTCTAACTTTAAATGTTGGGTAATTGTTTATAACCAAACTAGCTATTTTGATTAAAAAAACTGTTGTATAATAGATCATGGTAAACATATGATTTCTTATTGGACATAGGGCTTTTGTTAACATTCATTAATACAATATTTCATTCTACAAGTTCCTAACCTTTTAAATAGGATTGTCTCTAATTTTTATTACGTAAATTTAATTCATTAATTAATTTTAACTATGTTTTTTTTTTATATCTTATTTTAAATTATTTGGGCCTCAATATAATATAACTTACTCCAACAGTTTCAATGAATACTACGCGCCCTAATCAAACAATTCATCCCGTGGAAAGCATAACTGCTATTACACCGAATGACCTGTTTTGCCGAATGTTATTATTTAGAACATATGGTAGAATTTTATTCTCCGTTCGAGGGCTAAGGCTTGCGAAGATGTAACACAGACTTAGCTTATTCTTTATTAGAATATGGTATTTTAATTGCATATGATATGCACATATTTCTGAAAATTCCGATTTGGGAACCAGAAAATCCCGGCTTTGATTTCAGAGAATATTATCTTCTGGTTCAAAGAAGTTAAGAATCGAGCTCAAAATAAAATTCATTGAATGAATGAATAAGATTCAGAGAAAACCGCTCACTCAAAAGAATCCCCTCGCAATGTTCATACGTTCTGTCACGACAAATACATTCATGGCGGGACATTTAGTCGTTTTGCTACAGGACGTTTCGTATAATGGCCGTTTCGTATGATTTCTATATCTCATGAGGACGTTTGTTCTAAGTGATGTTTCACATTTTGATTAACTATTTGAGTATCACCATCGCGATATAATTATGTACCGAAGGGCATTCAAATTTGTAGGGTAAATGACGGCTTCAGCAAAACCTTATTCTATTATCGTCAGGGGCTAAACAAACGCTTGAGAGCTCTATTTTAGCATGTGGATACATTGTGTTTCAGAGCATGTATTGGCCAAATTTGAGTGCTCTAGGACTTTGTTTACCCCCTGACGATAATAGGTTAAGGTATTGCCGAAGCCGTAATTTACCCTACACATTTGAATGCCCTGCAATGTGATACTCAAACAGTTAAACAAAATGTGAAACATCACTTAGAACAAACGTCCTCATGAGATAGAGAAATCATGCGAAACGGCCATTATACGAATCGTCCATTATGCGAAACGTCCTTTAGTGAAACAACTTTATGCGAAATTTCCCGCCCCTGATGAGATGATCAAAATCCCATGAATTTATTTGTAATGACAGAACGTCTGAATATCGCGAGGGGATTCTTTTGAGTGAGCGGTTTTCTCTGAATCTTATTCATTCATTCAATGAATTTTATTCTGGGCTTGACTCTTGGCTTCTTTGAACCCGAAGGTAATATTTTCTGAAATCAAAGCCGGGATTTTCTGGTTCCCAAATCGGAATTTTCAGAAATATGTGCAGATAGTTCACTTATAATTAAAATATCAATAATTGTGTAATATGTCCGATACATTATTTCTACATAATGTCACCATTACTAAACAGAACAAAATGAAGAAATGTTCACACCGTTTGAAGCAAGATATGGACAGAAATCGACGATTTTTCGAAAATCTCCATACCGAAAAACTGTTTTATCCACAACTGGCGGGGCGACATCGGTTGGATTTGATGGTGGAAACTATTACTCAATTATCAGATTTTCTAGACCATGTGCCGAATCCCGATAAAAATAGCCACGTTACAAAGAAAGCCGAGAAGTCGGTGTGACTGAAAAGTGCTTGTTTGTGCAATGTCATCTACATGTACAACTACCCTACCCACTGTAGCTACTATACAAAGAAATATAGAAAACAATACAGTATCTCGAATACCTCCGCCATGGCAGGACGGTCAAGCAAACTGTGTGTTTTATTTATTTCCATCTCCGTACCTATCACAACGATCAAAAACACAACGTAGGGATCCCGCCCGTGCGCGATCATATGGTGCCGTGACCAGGATTCACTTGGATGAAGATTTGTGGAAGTCGCTATCGAAGTTTTGTTTCTCGAGGGGCTCATATTCGCCATCGCTCCATCATCGGCATGGGATACGTATGGATCAATTTGCCGCCATGGTAAACGAGCAACTAGTGCCATTGAAGTATAGATGCACTGCAGTTACACTAGCTGTGATCTCATCGGACTCCAACGTATCTGATGAATCCCAGTGTACTTGCCGGACCCCTGCGTCCACTGCCGGACCCCTGCGTCCACTGCCGGACTCCTGCGTCCACTGCCGGATCACTGCGCCACTACCAGACCCCTGCGTCCACTGCTGGACCCCCGCGTTCTCCCACTAGATCCATACATCCATTTGCCGAACTCCTACGTGCACCCGCCGGACCGCTGCGTCCTATCACCGAAGCGTTCACTATCGAACCGAAGTGTCACTCTTTTGGACCACAGCGTCATAAGACACCACCATCATGGTAAATTTAATTATATTCAACTTCATTCAAAACATTCGTTTTGGGGTGCCGATATGTTGGATCGCACCATCGGTGCCGGGCTCTACGGCATTTGAATATATAAATCGTTACCAGTAGAAGCCCCCCGGCACGATGGTAGCGATGCGATCCACATTGTTTGTATCATAGTGTTTTGTATGCATTTGTTATTGTTTACCTTTTGTATGGTTGTTTTTAGTTGTAAATAATTATTGTGAGTGAGTTTATTGTTCGGGACTAATATTTAAGGACTCAATTTTTGATGAATAGTTTAAGTTATTCAGTCCTCCTCCGAGCAGGCAGGATGCCTTTCGGAGGCAATAAAACAGTGAAACAAGTGGTAAATAATTGCAGTGTTTTAATTATACTCTGGAAAAGTCTTCGCCGATTTCCATCACACTGTAAAGACACAACGTAGGGCCTAGTCGTATCCTGGCCAAACAGTGCTATTGCACAACTTCAAACTCTTCTTCGAATCTTGAGAAAGGCTTTACATTCAGCATGTTTGTCTGAATGTAGAAGTCTTACTCGATTGGAATAACTTCTTTCAATAAAGTCTGGAACGCGCAAAAATTGGTCAGCTTCAAATTGGTGTATAATACATAAAAAAAAACCTGAAATGCTGCATTTGGAAGTTGAGTGTATAAACAATGGTTGCTATGATGAGTTTTCACAGTTTGCTCTCCATTTTTCAAAATGACGTCCAAGCAAGAGGAGCAGTGTGTCAAAACTTTGCTCGCGCAGCAAGAGAATCCGACGTTCTCACACGCCAAGTTGGCAAAATTGCTGGATGTGGCCAAATCGATCGTGACA